AGTTTCTGAGAGTTTCGAAAAAGTACAGAGAAGAACAACTAGGATGATTAAAGGCCTGGAGACTAAAACCTATGTAGAATGGTTGCAGGAACTGGGTATGGCTAGTCTAGAGAAAAGAAGGACTAGGGGTGACATGATATCAGTATTCTAGTATTTGAGGGGCTGCCATAAAGAATAGAGAGTCAACTTATTTTCCAAAGCACCAGAAGGCAAGACAAGAAACAATGGATGAGAAATTTCCTAACAGTGAGAACAATTAACCAGTGGAACAGCTTGCCTTCAGCAGTACTGGGTGCTTTATCTCTGGAGGTTTTTAAGAAGAGACTGGACAGCCACCTGTCTGAAATGGTATAAGATCTCCTGCTTGAGCAGAGGTTGGACTAGAAGACCTCCAAGGTCCCTTCCAGCTCTATTCTGATTGATTGGGGTTAGATTATTACCTTGATAGTGGAATACTTGGTAAGTGTGGATGACTTTTTGGTACACTTGTGTTTCCAATTTGCCATTATAGTCCCTGCAGATCAGGATATCCAGGAAGGGTAATGAGTTGTTTTTTTCTTCTTGCTGTTGAAGGTTTTATGCGTGTTTTCTAATTGGTCCTTTTTTATTATAGTGATGGTGTCATCTACATATCTGATCCATATTTTGGGTTGTATTTATGGAATTACTATTGATTCCAGATGTTGCATTACAATCTCTCCTGAAAGTAATGATCCATAGGCATACATTTAATTTGTTGATAAGTTTGTCTGTTGAATTGAAAGTATATGATTAGATAGAGGTTGATAACATTCATGATTCTGGGTATTTCAAATCTTCATGTATTTGTTTAAGTCAGATGTGCTACGGAGTAATGTTGTCAGAGATTCTTGGCTAATTCCAGGTCTATGGACCTGAAAACAGCTGATATATCAAATGAGACCATGGTTTTGACCTCATCTATTGTCACGTGTTTGATTCTTTGAAGGCATTGTAGTGGGGAGTTGATGGGATGCGTACTTTTCCTTGTGAGGAGCCCAAGTGGTTTTTTTTAGTTCTTTTGTGATCTTGTAGTTAGAGGTCTCTGGTAATGGTAATAATTGGAGGGACAGATATATCAGACATGTATTTGGGGGCATGCATAGAAGCGTAGGAGATGGGTCCACTGCTTTTCATCACCACTGTTCCTCTTTAGTAATTTGGCTTTCTTAGTGAGTCACTGAGAGTTCTCTTGATCTGGTTGTCTATTGGTTGGTGTTCACTGGGATGTAAATTTATTTGTGTTCTAATAATTCTTTCACTTTTTGTATATATTGTGATCTGTCCATAATAACCATGATTCGGCCTTTGTCTGCTGGTGGGAAGATGATAGTCTGGTCCTTCTTTAGGCTTTTGACGGCTGCTCTGTCCTCTGATGTAACTTGATTTTGTTTTTGTTTTCTTTTGGTCTGTGGTATGATGGTTTGTCTGATGGATCTCTATGGGCAGTCTAGCATTTTCAAATGCTCCTTCTAAGGCTGCAAAGAATTCCAATTGATTGGCATCATCTGTATTATAGCTGAGACCTTTCTGTAGAATATTGTGTTCTGCCATGGATAGTGGATGACTGGACATGTTGACTACAGATTTGGGCTCTAGTACTTCTTTGATTTTGATTTTAGTTTGAGGAGTTTATTTTTAAGTTTGGTTTTCCATTTTTTTGGCACATCTCTAGGAAGTACTCACGATGGTGGTGTCCAGCCTCTCCGTGTGCTCTGGGGTAATATTCTTTGAGGTTTCCCAGGGTGTGTTGGTATTTGTTTAATCTAAGGCAGGGGTGTCAAACTGCCGGCCCGTGGGCCGGACGCATCATCCAGAAGCCACGCCCACCCCATTGATGGCAATGGCAAAACCGTCCCGATACGTTGTGCAACATTATGTGACGTCGCGAGTTTGACATGTCTGATGTAAGGTATGCTTCTGTGATCATGAGCTATATCATTTTTTGCCCATTTTCTTCAGCTATTTTCCATCCAGCTGTAATGGAATATTTGTAGCTCACGATTGAAATGAGGGGTCCTTTCATTACCCACACTAGGTATCATCAGCAACACTGATGTTACCTTATTTGAGTAATGAAACATATGCAAGAAAACAACCAAGCTTAGAGAGCACCAAGGATCACTCAATCACATTTCTCTCAATCTCACTTACAATAGACTATTCATTTGGAATCCTTTTTCATTTATTTATATCAGTGGTTCTCAACCTTTTTAATGCCGCGACCCCAACCGGTCGTAAGTTGAGGACTAAACCGGTCGTACGTTGAGGACTAAACCGGTCATAAGTCGAGGACTAAACTGGTTGTAAGTCGAGGACTACCCAACCGGTCATAAGTCGAGGACTTTCCCTGCCCGGGAGCGCTGCGCATGCGTGGTTCCGCCCCCTGCACCGGCCGAGGCGTAGCTGGCAAGCGGCAGAGACGGAGCAGGCCGACCACCAGCTGGCCCAGCCCAAGGGAGGTAAGGCACCCACCGGAAAAGGGGAAAAAAATGGTAGACAAAAAAAATGGCGGACAACCTTGCTTGGCGACCCCCATGAAATGGTCGATCGACCCCAAATGGGGTCCCGACCCACAGGTTGAGAACCACTGATTTATATAATGCTTATACCGTCTCAATCAGCTCTAGGTGGTTAACAATAAAACATTAAAATTGAAAATTCATAAAAGAAATTAAACATCTTCAAAACAGTATAAGATAATGAAAAATGGCCACTCAGTCTAATACCTACTTAAGGCAAGTTTTTGAGGCTTTTCAGAATGCCAAGGGGGCAATCTTATCCACGGGAGCTATGCATTCTATAAATGTTGGGTGAATTACAGTCAAGAGCTACCTTCTGGTCATTTTCTTTCACCTTTCAGGATAGAACCTTGAGCAAACCCTCTGTCAATTTTACTGTCTTTGTTAGAAAAAGTACATAACATCCCTAGTATAATCAGCCTCTTAAAGAAATAAGTTGAGTTAGATGTTCTAATTAACAAGATGACAGAAAGGTGTGACTGTGATGTTCTCCTTTATACATGTTGATTGAAACAACTAGTGTGTGCTATATACAACACAGGATTGCCTCAACCAAAAGAGAGTTCTCTGAACCTGTCAGTGCTCGTGAAGCTGGAAAGTGCCATTGCAATGACTCTTTCTTCTACTGATCTATATTCAGCAGACAATATACAAATGAAGAAAATGTAACACCATCATTTCCCTTCTCACGACTGGTTGACCAAGAAAAATCACCCCAAGAACGTCTATGTTTCAAAGATGTTGCTATCTTCCTCTAGAACTGAAGCAGCCTTCTGACCATTTGCTTGACTTCCATAACTATGCATTGTTCTTTCATGATACGGTTCACGGAAGTCCTATTATCACCTTTATTGGCCCTGCTTTCTTGAAAGGAATTTTTCTGTCCTCTTTCACAAGAGCAAGCCAATGCCCTGGATTTCTTGATGAGAGTTTGGTGGTTCCTCCAGGCATAAATATAGTCTGATTTGGACCAATAGCAGCAATAATGCAAATAATTCTAAGCACACAGTTGCTTCACCTGCTGATTTGGGGCTATAGAAGGGCCCACCGTGGGGGATGGATATGTAACATTCGGAAACAACCTATCCTGAGTTTCTCTACAGATTACAGGTAGTCCTCAATTTAGGACCAGTTTAGTGACAGTTCAAATTTACAACAGTACTGAAAAAAGTGACCTATGACTATTTTTTATACTTATGACTGCTGCAGCATCCCCATGGTCATGTGATCAAAATTTGGATGTTTGGCAACTGACATGTATTTATGATGGCTGCAGAGTCCCTGTGTTGTGTGATCACCTTTTGCAACTTTTTGACAAGTAAAGTCAATGGGGAAACTAGTTCACTTAACAACTGTGTTACTAACTTAACAACTGCAGTGATTCACTTAACTGTGGCATGAAAAAATGCAAAGTGGAACAAAACTCACTTAACTGTCTTGCTTAGCAATGGAAATTTTGGGTTCAATTGTTGAAAGTTGAGGACTACCTATACCTATTCTTGCCTTATCCAAGAATTGTTCTGGAGAGTGGAAGGGAAGCTCTGTTTTCTGTCTGTATTATTTCCTACCATCACCTTCTTAAATGAGCTTTTAGACAATACTGATTGGTTACTGGACTGGATAGAAAGGCATTAGTAGGAGATCAACTTCTAATGTTTATGTATATTAAACTTTTCTTTGGCAAAGATTGAGCAGCTGAAAAAGTCCTAATGGGCAGGGAGTGGGCCCTTACAAACATTAATTGTTGGTGCACCCCAAATGGTAGGAGCTGTTTTCAGGCTTGCTCCCAAAGAGCAAGTGAAAACAGTGGTTTCTACACACCTGTGGTATAAAGTTTCTGTAATTATCTATTCGTGAAAAAAGAATAACGCCATATCTAATTTAAATCATATACTAAATTATTTATATAACAGGATCTGATGTGGGATTTTCAAGATAAAATATCTCATTCTCATAATGGGGATATTAAAAAGAGATAAGAAAGGGAAATAGCAGAAATCTTTTTTTTTTTTTTTTAGGAAACAAGTAAAGCAATAAATGAAGCACATTCTGGGGAATGTTTCTTCCAAGGTTACCAGAATGGGAGAGAAAAAGAAACTGGATTATAATTAAGTAGGAAGAGGGTTACTACCTTTTGGTTTAGCTAAAGTATGTTCTGTACAGATGCAAATATGAAATGTAATCCATAGAAACCATGAAAATAATTATTATACTAGGCTGCAATGAAAGGAAATTGTTAACAAATAAAGAAACAAAAGCTGGATCAAGTAGTATATTAAATAATGGAAAGTGATGAACAAAAAACTAAATATCTAAGGAACTTTATTAAAAGTAGGAAAAGGCAGAGCTAAAGAAAATATGACTTTCAACTAAGCCAGTTCTGTTTTCTGAAATTTAGCTATATGATGAATGAGTGAAAATGAACACATACAGGAAAATATTATTGAACAAAACACTTACCATGTTTCTCATCTTCTTCAAGATCTACTGTTGTCTCCTAAATTAGATAAACAGAAAGGTTTCTGAATTACAGAAAGAAGGTTCATATTAATGTTTTGCAATGTTTTAATACTTGATACTTCAAAAGCAGTAATACTTGGAACTATATTTCTCTTACCCTAAGAATATAATAAACATATTCTAACAAGATTTGATGGAATTATTCATGTTTTAGGCTGCTAAGAGGTGTCCAAATTGTTAAAGGTTCAATGAGTTCATTCAACAGATAAAATCCAAAAGTATGTAATTGCAGAAAATAACTATCCTCACTGTAAATCTTTTATAGCATATTTTAAGAATGTGCAGGAAATCACTTCACCTTCTGTTCCATAAGTAACAATTTCTTTCATATGTGCATATATGTGCAGATTCTTTTCATTTTTTCATACATAATTTTCTGTGATAATATTTATATACCAAGAAGCACATCAATAAAAACAAAATAACAGAAACTAAGGAAATAATAAAGCTCATACAATTTGATAATAAATTAAGTCAGTAATACCTGAATAAAGAATTGATTAATAAAACAAATCTATTGAATAGCTTAGAATAGAATAGAGCTGGAAGGGACTTTTGAGGTCTTCTAGTCCAGCCCCCTGCTCAAGCAGAAGAACCTATACCATCTCAGACAAGTGACTGTCTAGCCTCTTTTTAAAAATCTCCAGGGATGGAGCACCCACGATTTCTGGGAGCAAGCTATTCCACTGGTTGATTGTCCTCACTATCAGGAAGTTTCTCCTTAATTCCAGGTTGCTTCTCTCTTTGATCAGTTTCCAACCATTGTTTCTTGTCCTGCCCTCTGCTGCTTTGGAGAATAGTTTGACTCCTTCTTTGTGGCAGCCCCTCAAATACTGGAATACTGCTATCATGTCTCCCCTGTTTCTTCTTTTCTTTAGACTAGCCAAACTCAAGTCCTGCAGCCATTCTTCATGTGTTTTAGTCTCCAGGCCTTTGATCATTTTAGTTGCTCTTCTCTGAATTTTTTACAAACTCTCAACATCTTTTTTGTGATATGGTGACCAAAATTGGCTGCAATATTCCAGGTGTGGTCTTACTAGGGTTTTATAAAGCGGTACTAATACCTCGTGTGATCTTGATTCTATGCCTCTGTTTATATAACCCAAGATTGTATTAGCTTTTTTGGCTGCTGCTGCACAATGCTGGCTCATGATTAAGTGATTGTCCACTAGGACTCAAAGATCCCTCTCAGTTACTGTTTTTAAGCCTAGATTTGTCCAATATATACTTGACCCTTTGATTTTTCCTGCCTAAATGTAAAACTTTGCTTTTCTCCACATTGAAACTCTATTGGAAGTAGTAGGCTTTAGCAATGATATCAGGTAGTGAGGATATTAGGCATTCTGTACAGAAAACTCTACTATGGAGGAAGCTTTGTATGTAGCTGTCCCCCATATCACTGTGGAGAGCAGCATCCAGGAAAAAAATATCTGTGAAGATGATTGTAACAATTGGCAGGCATCTTAACATATGAAAAAGGTGTTTCTCCAGGTAATGTTTTTTAAATATTTTGTTGTCATACTCACATCTGATTATCATCCCATTCATGAAACATTGATGACTTTATTTTCCCTTTCCAATGAAGTGATAATCCTAAAGGTTCATATACTTTTGTCACACACAAATCATAACTTTGGATCATTTTCCTCAATAAATAAATGAACGAGTATGTTTGACTCATTTTTAATTGGCTTCTCTTTATCTAGTAGAACTTAACGGGAGAACAGATCATATTCACACAGAAATAAATACCGAAGTGCCAGCAAGATCTTCCACTGACTTCAGATATCCATCAAATTCTGAGGACAAACCAGCCTAATATTTTTCTTATATTTGTCAAGAAGTGAAAAATTTTATTTACATTGATCCTAGGTAGTATATGACCAGTTTTGTCCTAGTTAGAACTCTTCAAATATACATCGATGAATCTATTAGGGTATTAATGGGTTCCCTTGTACATTGGGGACATAATGTAACATCCATATTTTTCTGTTCTGAGTTCTTAAGATTAGGTATATACACCATTCTAAAGATAACTGAAAATCTTCTATTTTAGATGAACCAAAATTGGAAAATGTCTCTATCTGTAGTTTTGAGCATTCAAGAGACAGACATAAAGTGGAAAGTAACCTACTGAAATTCTACAAAGAAAACGAAAGCAAAACAGTTGACAACACATTCATGTTTTCATATTTAAATGAGAAAGCACATAAACTAACCATTTTCAGTTCTGTTATTTCAGGTAGTTGCTGTTCTGCTTTCACTATAAACTGGTCGTCCTCTTCTTCTTCTTTATCTATAATAACATTTGATACTATCTTGGCACTGCCATTTCTATAAAAAAAATAAGGACAGAGCAATAATTCAGATATTAAGTTGTCATAGATAGTCATTTTTAAGGCAGAAAATAAAGCTTTCTTTCAAAATCAGACTGTTTCTAAAAAGTTGTAAAATTCAAGAATACAATCTCCTAAAATGGAAATTTGAGGGAAATTTAAAACATACTATTTTATTCTCATTTTTCCCCCTATTTTAAGAACATCTGGCAAAGTGGAGTAAAGAAAGATCTGTATCCCTGAAGTAGCTGAGTCAAACTACATTTTCTTTGCAGTAGAATATAATTTGTAAACTATTTCCATTTTACTGATTATAATTGTCATATATGAATGAGCCAGACTGGGCTCCACTCCAAAAAACTGAATCCAAGCACTTATTTTTCATTGTTTCTGAACCTTCTGTCTGCTACTACACTGGATATGGTAACTTTCTACCAGCCTTGTGCAAGTGGATGTCAGCGAAATGCCAGCAGCCCTAGACTCATAGAATTGATTTCTCATCTGTCATCATGGAGCTGGTAGTATTCTTGTAATGTTGTAAATAAAAAATATAGAAATTACTATGTTTCTGACAGTTTCAAACTTAACAAGTCACAGTTGATAAAACTAATTATAAATATACTTAAAGATGGAAACACAAAAGTATTAATAAAAGTAGAACTTACTACTTTATGAATTATAATGCTGAGGGGGCTATTTTTATCCTTCCTTCACCTATGGTTAGTATTTTTTATGATATTTATTACTGTGACTCTTTAGGTTTTTGTTTTTTATTTACTATTTTATCTATTGTATGCTGCCCAGAGTTGCCTTTGTGGAGATGGGCGGCTATATAAACTCCTTGCAGAGGAGTTATACCCATAACTGTCTGCTGGGTATAACATTTAGCATAACTCATAACATTCTGGACCAGCTACAACTTCCAAGTGCTTTTAAAGAGCAGGAATTAAAAGTCTTCAACACAAGAGTCAAGAATGGGATTTAAAACCTAGAATAACAGGATTAGAAGGGAATTTGGACATCTTCTAATCCAATTCCTTGCTCAAGCAGGACACCTTATACCATTCTGGACAAATGGTTGTCCAAGAATTTTAATAGGATAGTTTTCATTAGTTTTCGTATGCACAATTAAAAGAAAGATTTACTATAGATAATAAGGCAACTGGAATTTGAAACTGAATTTTGTACACATCATGATAACTTATAAATTTGTATATATTATATATTTGTTGAAATCTGAAAAGAAAGAAAAAGAGTTAGCATGCATGATAAAATGGGCTAAGAATTTTGGTTATAACATACAGATGAATCAAAAGGAAAAAATATGGTTAAAAAGACTGAAATTTATGTTGAATTATAATTTAAGAGAGAACTTTTATAAAATGATGTACCATTGATATATGACACCAGAGAAATTATTCAACATGTATAAAGGTACTTTTAGTCAATGCTGAAAATGTGAAAAGCATGAATTGTATCATGTATCATTGTATCATCAATACATGAAAGTAGATATGATATACTTGGAATTACTGAAACTTGGTGGGATGAAACCCGTGACTGGAACATACTGAAAAAAGGATACAAACTATTCAAAACAAAAACAAAAACCAGACCACATAAAAGAAGAGGTGCACTATATGTAAAAGACCACTATATTGCTGCAGAAATATACAAGACCAAAGATGAAAATCTCTTAGAATGCATATGGATCAATATAAAAGAAAAAAAGAATGACATTGCCATAGGTATGTACTACAGGCCATCCAACCAAGCAGAAAAGATGGATGTACTTTTTACTAACCAATTAATAAATAGTAATGGGAGACTTCAATTACCCTGAGATTAACTGGAAGATTAATTCTGCACCAAGTGAGAAATCGAATAGGTTCCTGACCAACCTAGGTAACAACTTTGTTGCCCAAAAGGTTGGGGGGGGGAGGCTAGAGGGACAGCCATACTGGACTTAATTCTCACGAATAGAGAAGTGATAGAGCGAGTTGAAACTGCAGGAATTCTGGGCGAGAGTGACCATGTCATACTGGAATTCAATATAATGCAAACACAAGCAATAGAACATAATGATACCAAAGTATTCAATTTTAAAAGAGCTGATTTTAACAAACTCAGAGAAAGCTTGGGAAAGATTCCTTGGATGAAAATCCTAAAGGGGAAAACAACTCAAGAATCTTGGGAAAAATATGATCATAAAAGCCCAGTCCATCACAATACCACTGAAAAAGAAAAACAAGAAATCCAAGAAGAAACCAACATGGCTGCACAAAGATCTCTGTGACAAACTAAAAGACAAAAAGGACAATTACAAAAAATGGAAAGGGACACATAACTAAGGTAGAATATCATCAGATAGCCAGAATCTGCAAAGACTAAGTCAGGAAAGAAAAGGCTCACAATGAACAAAGACTTGCAACAAAAGTCAAAGATAATAAAAAAAATTCTTTCAACGTATAAATAACAAGAAAAAAATCAAGGAAACAGCCAGTCCATTGAAGAGAGAAGACAGCAAGGTAGCAACAGGCAACACAGAAAAAGCAGAGCTGCTTAACTCATTCTTTGCATTGGTGTTCATGCAAAACGAAACTATAGCCCAACCTACCAAAAACATAACTGCAAAAGACAGACTAGAAATAAAAGTTAAAATAAGCAAAAAAAAAATGGTAAGAAAACACCTGTCTGATCTTGATGAATATAAATCACCGGGACCTGACGGATTACATCCCAGAGTTCTAAAGGAGGTGGCAGATGTCATCTCAGAACCACTGTACCATACCTTTCAAAAATCCTGGAGCACCGGGAAACTATCAGAGGACTGAAAAAGAGCCGATGTGAGTCCCATCTTCAAAAAAGGGAAAAAAACAGACCCAGGAAACTACAGACTAATCAGCCTAACATCAATACCTGGGAAGATACCCGAAAAACTCAAAAAACAGATCTGCGAACATCTTGATACAAATAAAGTTATAACTAGAAATCAGTACAGGTTTGTTAAAAACAGATCGTGCCAAACCATTCATTCTTTGACAAAGTGACTAAATTAGTAGACCAGTGAAATGCTGTGGACATAATATACTTAGACTTCAGCAAGGCATTTGATAAAGTAGACCACAACCTGCTTCTTAGTAAGCTAGAAAAAAGTGGGGTAGATAGTATCATGATCAGATGGATTTGTAGCTGGCTGACAAACCGTACTCAATGAGTAGTCCTTAATGGTGCTACATATACATGGATGGAAGTAAGCAGTGGGATACCACAAGGTTCCATCTTAGGTCCAGTACTCTTCAATATCTTCATAAACTTAGATGAGGGAATAGAAGGGGAATGTATCAAATTTGCAGATGTACTAAACTGGTAGGAATAGCCAACACCCTACAACAGGGCTTTTCAACCGGTGGTACACGTACCACTTGTGGTACATTAACAAGTGGCAGGTGGTACACAGCCCTGCCTAGCCAAGTGTAGTGGGGGAAGGAAAGAGCCAGTGCAGGCAAGGACTTACTGTGAGAGAGTCCTCTGCAGCAGCAGAGTTGCTGGGGCGAGGCAAAGGCTCCAGGCTCACTTCTTGCTCCCCCTTCCCCATGAGAGAGGAGGAGGAAGGGGATGGAGACAGGAGAGGCTATAAAAGGAGGCAGTTTGGGTGGGAGAGGGAGAGAAAAAAAAGCAGCAGCCTTGGGAGGAGGCAGAGTCAGCTCTAGCTGCACTGAAGGGAAAGAAGAAGAAGGAGGAGGGTGGGGGGAGAGGAGATCAAGCAGGCTGGCCATGAGCTGATCTACAACTGCCGTGGCAGCCACCTGTGCTGGCAGCAGCAAACAGGCAAGAAATGCAGTGGGGGAGGGGTCACCCTCCAAGAGCAGTGAAAAAAGGCAGCAATGGCTGGAGGTGAGGCAGGGAGATGGAGAGTGGAAGGATTCTTATGTGCTTTTGTGACTTTGAAGTCCTGGGATTTGTGCAATGTGGGCTTTCTGTTCTTAAGGAGTGTTTGGCAATTTCTATTTGGCTGACGGCTCCTGTTAGTTTCTATTGCTCTGCTATTGTTAGCTGTAAGTTTTGCTGCAAGGGATTTTGAAGTGTTTTTCTCCGGAATGGATTTTGCCTGTAGCATTCCTTTACTTAAGAATGGAGCCATTTGGCAAGGCTGCCTTAGCCAGCAGCCAGTACTTACTACATTTTTTTTTCTTCCTTAAGTGGGCTGCTTAACTTTCTTTTCTAGCCAGTAGCTAATTCTTAAAGGGGAATGTGCCTTTTTAAGCTAGTTCACTCAGCAGCTTGTCTTTTCTGTCTCTGGAGGCTTTTCCTTGTTTGATGAATATATGGAAGAGAGAAAATATGGGGGGGGAGTTCAAATTCTTCCTTCAGAAGGAGATGGGAATGAGAAAGAGGGAGGGAGAGAAGTCCCGCCTTAGCACTTGGCCACCAGCAGCCCTGCCATTGACTTTGCTTGTCAAAAGGTTGCAAAAGGGGATCACATGACCCTGGAACACTGTGACCATCATAAATATGAATCAGTTGCCAAGCATCCAAATATAAATCACATGACCCTGGTCATGCTGCAATGGTCATAAGTGTGAAAAATGGTCATAAGTCATTTCAGTGCAATTGCAACTTTCAACAGATTTTTTGGGGGGTTTTTTGGTCATCAAGTTTTTGACACCTTGCTAGGTGGTACTTGAATATTGCCATATCCTAAAAGTGGTACAATTGGTGAAAAGGTTGAAAAGCCCTGGATTAGATGACCTACAAGGTCCCTTCCAACTCTGTTATTCTATGTTCTATTCCAGTGATGGCGAACCTTTTAGAGACTGAGTGTCCAAAAACTGCCCCCGCTCCCCATCCTGCCCCTTCTCCGCCCCCGCCCCCATTCTGTCCCCACCCCGCCCACCCACAGGGCCACTCACCACCTCCACAACCTGCCGCACATCGCCCAGGCGGCCCAGGAGTGCCATGGTGGCCACACCCTCTGCCCGCGCCCCGCAGCATCAA